GCCCATTTCCAAGTTGCCTTTTGTTTGTGAAAACTGCCACTCTGTTCGGGGGTTTTCTCACCATTTTTATTGCTAGGGTGCCCAGAATCCATAGCTAGCTGCTTTGGCACGGGTGATAAAAATGGCCTCAGTCAAGTTCATGAAAATGACTCTTCTTCCGAAAGTGTTCCTTAGTCCAGGACTAAGTCAAGAATTAAATCGAGGGAGGGGCTGGCCTAGAAAATGGGGAAGGGGCACTGCCTCTGCCTCCTGAGAACTAGGATTAAAACCCTCTACCCACAACCCTTGGCCTTTTTTTTTTTTTTTGGAGGCGGGAGCTCTTTCTCAGAACAACAAAATCAACCTGGGCCGTCTGTGATTTTTCCTGAATAAATCTGCACACCTTTTTTCTTGCTGTGTCACAGACTGGCCTCCATCTCGTTGTGTAGCTGAAGATGACTGATGCTCCTGCCTCCACCTCCTAAGTACAGGCATTGCACACAGAGCCTGCTCTCTGTGGCGCTGGGGACAGAGCCCCGGCCTTTGTGTGTGCTAAGCAAGCGACAGCTGTCTGCCACATTCTTGAAGGACACAGCTTTGAAGTGGAAGGAACAAGGGAAGCCGTATGTTCTGAAGAACGTGGTTGGTTGGGGCACGTGGCGAGTCTTTAATCCCAGCGCTTGGGAGCAGAGCCAGGCAGATCTCTTCAGTTCCTCCTTAGGTGGTCTACAGACCTAGTCTTTTTAGGACCGCCAGGGCTACACAGAGAAACCTTGTCTGGAAACAACAACAAAAGCTGTGGCTGCAAATATAAGCCGACCTCCCAAAGGTGCTGGAAGGTTCTGACTCCGTTTGAGGATGCCATCGGGTCATGGTGGGTTTTCTCCCTGCTGCACACATGGAGACTCACTCCCAGTCATTGACCAGATGCCTCAGCTGCAAATACCATGTCCCCACAGGTGTTCCCAGAAGTGCCCTGAAGACTCCTCCTGTCCCTGCGGGGGGGGGGGGGGGGGGAGGGCCCCGGGGGGGGGGGGGGGGGGCAGGGGCCGGGGGGGGGGGGGGGGGGGGGGGGGAGTGAGTCTGATGTAGCCTGTAGAGAGGTATTTCCTGAAAAGCTTTCCAAGGCCGAAGCAGCTTTCCTAAAATCACTTGTCTGCCCAGCCGTGCCAGGGAGATTGGGTTCTGTACATTGGGCTCAGGAGCCTTTAAACCCGCAGAACTGAGACTGTACAGATGAGCACCGGAGAGAAATACGCCGGAGAGAAAGCCAACTAGACACGGGGTCAGAAAGTGCATGGATGTTTTTGTTTTGAGTGTAGTTTATTTCTTTGGCTTTGGTGTTTGCAGACAGGGTCTCACTCTGTGTCCTGGCTGGCCTGGATCGAGATAACCCTTTCGCCTGAGCCTCCTGAATGCTGGGATTACAATGCTGAGCCCATCTAATCACCTGGCTCTTTCTTCTTTAAAGTCTTGTGTGGGTGGGACTGGCCAAGCATTCAAGGCTGCCTCAAATGCCTAACTCTCAGCTCCCCCCCTCCTAGAGTGGGGAAGGAACCACCTAGCCTGAAGCAGAGTCTGCACCCTAAGAGTTAATCCCCCAGGGAAGGGAGGAGCCTGGCAGCCTAGCAGGAGGGGGCTGGGAGGCGGCTGTGGAAAGCAAGCTGTCAGGGCCGATCTGCTTGAGAGTTAACAGGCTTTGCAAAAGCTCACCCAGGCAGAAACAGCATCCAAGAGCGACGAACTTGATCTGGTGCTGAAGTCTTTGACCTTAAAGCTGAAGCGCTTTTTTTTTTGTTGTTTCGCATGTGTGTGCTGTTTCGGTCCCGAACTGCATGTATGCAGACAGGGTTCACCGAGTTCACTGCGTGTCTATCCTGAAGAGGACTCCAGCAAGCCTTGTCACCACGTCTGGCAGGGCCCTGCCTCCAACCTGAGCAGGGACTTGTGGAAGCCGGAAGGCCCTGTGATGGATGACACAGAGACACAAGCAAATGAGGCTTGCCTGGTGCAGATTCCTCAGGAGAGCAGAGCCCCGGCACGGCACGCTTGGCCGGCAGGGCTCCTGAGCATGTGGGAGCTGAAGCAGGGTGTGAGGATGTCTCCCGACCTCCTGCCCTTGGCGGCAGATAGATCAGGGCTTTAAGGGCAGCTACATAGTGTAAGGACAGCTCAGGCTGCTTGAGGCCTTGTCTCAACAACGAAGGAAGAGAAGGACAGAGAGGAAAAATGTTGAGTTTCCAGGGACAATGGTAGCTTTTTTCTCAGATCTCACAGTGGGAAGCCAGGGCCCACTCCTCTTCCCACCGAGGAGGACAGCTGTTCCAGAAATATGCAAAGAGAAGGAGAAAGCCCTGGCTCTAAATAGAGCTTCTTTGGGAGGTAGAGTCAGCTGGACGTGAGCTTGAGGCCAGCCTGGTCTCCACAGTGAGCTCCAGGACAGCCAGGTGGCTCAAAACAAAGAAACAAAAGCTCACTCAGCCAGTCAGCGCCAGGCCTGACCAGTTCGCGGGTTTGCCGGAGCTTCCTTACCCTTCGAGCGCCAGGCCTCAACGGCTCTCGGGTTTGCCGGAGCTTCCTTACCCTCCGAGCTGTGGCTGGCAGCCTTCAGACCTGCTGCTTCTCACTGCAAAACTTTATTTTTCCGACCCAGGCCTAGAGCTGCAGGAACACGCCCCTGTGGCACCTGAGCCTTTCCCGCCCCCGGCTGCCCTTTAAATGGTTCTTTTGGAGCCAGGTCCCTACTGTATATCCCCGCCTGGAACTTGAGGCAATCCTCCTGCATCCGCTCCCCCAGGCTGGCGCCACACACATGTGCTCCAGAGGACCAACCAGAACTTCATTGAGAAGTTGTCATCCTGTGCAAGCTGCAGGGCTGCAAAGCATGCACAGTAAGGTGGGCACACAGGGGACCTCCCTGAGCTGCAGAGCGAGTTCAAGGCCAGACTCTCTGAAGCCACGCTCAGAAAAACCAAAGACGAAGGAGGAAAGAAAAACAAGGAGCCTGAGGTCTTCGGAAAGCGTCATGCCCGGAGCCAGGCACCCGCACCCTGGCAGTGGGCATCTCTGTCACCCTCTTCCCGTCCATTCCCACGTAACCACTGACCTGCTGCCTGTCTCTTCAGACCACTTTGCATTTTCTAGAGTTTTCTGTGGATGCGCTGACACATCTTTCGGGCGGGCCTGGCTTTGCTCACTCTGGCTATGAGGAGAGACCCTGTTCCGACTGAACACAGCTCAGCTCGGGAAGCAGGCCAGGGAACGCTGCCTCTCCATGTCCGGGCCTGCATTAGCAGAGTTTTTCTGCAAGGATGCCTGTCATATTTTGCAGTTAATACATATTTCTTAATGAGAAACAGGAATAAGTTATACTTTTTTTTTTTTTTTGCCAAAAAAAAAAAAAAACCTGTAACCTTGAATCCCAGCCTCTTACTCTTCCACACAAACCTCAGCAGTAAAGAGCGCTGAGGCATCGTTGAAGAAGCACAGTCCCTTCGGCACTGTGGATGAGTAGCCTCAGACATGGCACAGTGGCTCCTTAACTCTGTTATGTGTATTACTATAGGTCTGATTACTGTTTAGTGATTGTGATTGACAGGCTCTAATTCTTTAGCCCAGACCTATCTGGGATTTGCTGTATAGTTTAGACTGGCCTCTAACGTGTGGTAATCCTCCTGCCTCAGCTTCCAAAGTACTGGGACTTAGCAAGTGTGAACCGCCAACCTAGTTACAATATATGAGTTTGCTTTTGTTTATACTATTTTTTGTTTGTTTGTAAAGTCGTTTATTTATTTATCTGTGGAGGTGAGAGGACAGCTTTCTGGAGTCTGCTCTTGCCTGCTGCTGAGTCCCTGACTGAATCCTGGTTATCAGGCGTGACAGCAAGCACCTTTGCCCACGGACCACTTTATCAGTCTGGCTGTCGTTCTGAACCCTTATCAAATGTCTTACAGAGCTATGCTCTGGCTCTGTGCTTTCAGCCTTCCAGGAGTAGGTAAGGATGGAAGGTCATGCCAAGACCAGAGGGATGAAATTCTACAGTGTCCAGAATTTGTTTGAAAAGATCTCCCACAAGCCAAGCATAGAGTGTATTGTGGGTTATCTCAGGACTTGGGAAGGAGAAGCAGGAGGTTTTCCGTTAGTCTGAGGCTAGCTGATCTCAAAACAAAAACTCCAGCAAAAGAGTAGTCGGGGCAGACAGAGTACATTGTCTGCACGTGAGGTCCTGGAAAGGGGGCGCGGCCCAGTGTGCTTGAGAATCACCAGTGCAGGCAGACTACAGAACTCCCCAGTTCTCTCTGCTGGGATCTTGTGTAAGGAACAGAAAATTCCTCACTTCCAGACCGCCGTGCCTCAGACAATAAACCAAGGGTAATTTAAGGCTCAAAACAAACGCTCACCTCAGTTCTTTCTCCTCAGCGCAGGGCAAGCCCTGAATAAGCAGCTTGCTTTCGGGGTGTCCATGAGACAGCGACCCCATCAGTGCTGACTGATGTGTCAGGAGCCACGCCTGACGGGAATTCAGAGGTTTCCTCTGATAATGAGCAAAGAACAGAGAAAAGGAAATGTCTTTCTTCTGAAAGGCTGTGCTTAGGTTTTTGGGAGCATTCAGGATATAGGAAGTTCTGTTCTTCCCTGCTTTACGCTAGAGACGAAATGCCCCCCACACACACCCTGTTCTCTGCAGAGCAGAAAGCGCTCTGAGCCATCTCTCCAAGTCCCACAGTGCAATTAAAGACTGTCCTCCAAGTCGCTGTGTAACTGAGGACCTCGAGTCATCCTCGCGGCCAGGTCTTACAGCCCTCACCTTCTGAGAGCTGGGAGAGCAAGTGCGCCCCGCCACACCTGGCCAAGTGCCCTGAACTGTGAGCGAACGACCTTCCACACCACACTAAACAATGAGCCAAGCAGGCCCGCAAAGGTCACAGATGGTGGTTAATGTTTACCAGGTTTCTGGGTGGACACAGCCATCCACCTGCTGTGCCATCCTGCCGAAGGTCCCTAAGCAGCTGGGGGTGAGTGCCACACACCTGTTTCCACGCCAGAAGCCGAGGCGGGAAGACGGAAATGCCGAGGCCAGTCTGGGCCACGTGGGGGACGCTGTTCACTTGCTCTGTAGCCCAGGCTGGCCTGGAGCTCGCCTCTCCACCCGCCTCAGCGTCCCTATCAGGGATTGCAGGCACGTGACAACAAGATCTCTAAGGGTGTGCTCCAGTCAACTCTGTGCTGCTGTGGTAAACCGCCTGGGACAAGCCACTTAAAGGAAAGAAAGGTTTGCTCTGCTTCCTGGTTTCTGGGTCTCATACCATAGCTACGAGGCCGGGGTGAGGGAGAAGGCTTTGGCGGTGCACTCGGCTGACCAGAGCTGCCGGCTTGGCTTCATTGTGGCTGGGAAGCAGACAGGAAGCTCACTTTTAGGACTGTTAAGCTGTGAATTCGTAAAGGAGTTAGCCCAGCTGAGCACTCTGGTACGACGCCTATACGCAAGCCACTGGGGGGGGGGGGGGGGGGGGGGGGGGGGGGGGGCAGCCTGGCAAGTTCAAGGCCAGCCGGGCCACCCGGAAAGCCGAATTCACAGATGGAGCACGAGACAAACAGAACCGTGACAGAGCTGAAACAACTTTACATTCTTTCATGACTCATGCGTCCTTTTGCCTACATTCTGTCCTTTCTATCACCTATTTCACCCTGTTTGGTCTCCTTTCTAAATGTTAGACTTTACTCATTTTCAAGGAGGAGAGAGACTTTGTAAACTGAAAATATTCCCTTTTCCCCTGTGTTTAAAACGGTATCACGTCATCAAGTCATCCTTTCATGGTGCTATACGATCCGTGAGCTGGGTTGTCATTTCTTCGTCTTGCAAAGTCTAATAGCTCTCTCAGGGGAGGAGACGTGAAGGACGCTGGGTTGCGCGGCCCATCAGCTGAATCTACAGTGGCTTTCTTAGCACGGCTTGACTCTTTTAATATCTAGAAATGTGGTCGAATATCGGGAGGCAAGCCTCAGCATGTGATTTATAGCCCAGGCTCTCGCTCTGCGGTCCCCACACCCTTTGGGATCTGTGTCGTCACGAGCATCTTCTGACTTGTTCGTGGGAGAAGCCATCTCGCCAGCCTCCAGGATACCCGGCGACCAGGCTTCTCCATCTCTCACTCGCATTAACGTACTACCATCCTGATCCTCATGCAAGCCCAGCCTGGCTTTTCCAAGTCCTGAGGTAGCAATCCTCCCTTGCCCGCCTTTTTTCTTCTTAATGTTCGTCATATCAATTAAAGGATAAAATGACACCTTCTTTAATACTGTGGGGTGATGATTAACCCAACCCAGATGATTAAAAGATCTGAAGTGCGACCAGCTTTCTCTCAGATTCTTAACTCTGTGTCAGGCCCTTCGGGGTTACATAAATAAAGAGCCACCCCTTCCCAGGGTGGTGTCCCCTTTGGGCACAGTCCTCAGGCTTCAGGTATTTCTCTCTTGAATTTACCATTGACTGGAGCAGGGCCGTTTTTCCGAGACCACCCTCACACCTAGCTGTGGACAGGCCCACGGCCTGGGCTGAGCGCCCTTCCGCCAGCCTTTGATGGAATGTGCCCAGTGCACCTTGAGGACCGCTGGGACTCATGCCCAGCTCTGGAATGATGCCAACTCCTGGAAAGGCCTGTGCTTCCCTGTCAAGTGGGCCATAAACAGCGGCTGAAAAAGCCTTGGATCTCAGGGCGGTGGTGGTGCACGCTTTAATACCAGCACTCAGAGGCAGAGGCAGGAGGATCTCTGTGAGTTCAAGGTCAGCCTGGTCTATTGAGCGAGTTCTAGGGCAGCCAGGGCTACACAGAGAAACCCTGTCTCAAGAAACAAAACAAATGAACAAACAAACGAGAAAGCTTTGACTTAAGATCACATTGGGAAAAATTGTCTCCCATACCGGATTGGCACAGGAGCTTTCTGGTTCTCACCCTGGCCTCCTCACGCCTGAGAACAGAATAAACAGGGCCCTGACATCTGTAACTCCACGCTGTTCTAATGTACTCAGAATGGGTCCCAGAGGTGCATTTTAAAAATGCCTCTTCGGCATCTCGTGTCCATGAACTTCACATGCTCAGCTTTGCCTAGCCGCGGGCAGCGTCAGAGACAAGCTGATCCATCCCTCCCCCACGTTGGACCAGGTGGCCAAGTCTGCGTCCGGGAGACCACGGTGAGGTGTGTGCCTGAGGAGCATTTTCTCAGCTTGGTCTGTCTGTGGTCTCTAAGGGTGCTGGGGTTAAACATGGGAAGCCGTTTGCCGTGACGGTGGCCCCCCGCCAGGCACACCAAGGCGTGTGGATCCCTGGGGAGGCAGGGATCTTCACTTCGAGAAGGGGATGGACATGTCCTGCGTGTGAAGGACGAACTTCCTTTAGATACTGAAGTCAGCAATGGGAACTTTTCTCAACGCTCTTCGTAAAGTATGGTTTTAGAAAAAGGAAAAGCGTGTGTCAGAGAGATGGCTCAGAGGGTGAAGGAGCTTGCCACCGAGTCTTAAGACCTGAGTTCAATCCCTGAGAACCGCATGATGGGAAGAAACAGCAAAACTCCCGGAAGTAATCTTCTGACCTTCACTGAGGCTCTGTGGCGTGTATGCACACATATGTGTGTGACATAAATAAAGCTGAGGTATAACGAAAGGAAGAAGAAAAAGCAGAGGGAGCTCTAGGAAGAAAGAAGAAAGAAAGGAAGGAAGACAGAAAGACAGACAGCTTGGGCTGTGCTTGGCTGCAGAGACCACCAAACACCTGTGAGGCTCTGGTACAGAAAAAGGGAAGCCAGGAGTATGGCAGAGAGCTGCAAACCTGTGATCCCACTAAGGACCTGAGGTGGGAAATCTGCCTGAGTTCAAGGTCATCCTGGCCTGTACGCTGAGTTCCAGACCAGCATGGGTTACACAACGGGTTGCTGTTTAAAAAAAAAAAGAAAGAAAGAACAAACAAACAAACAACAACAACAAGAAAAAACAGGAGGTACAGGTTAAGAGCACCGTCTGCTCTTCCAGAGGTCCTGAGTTCAATTCCCAGCAACTGCCCAACCATCTATCATGAGATCTGGTGCCCTCTTCTGGCATGCAAGTGTACGTGCAGATTGTGCACTCATCTACATTAAATAAATAAATAAATAAACAAACCTTTAAAAAAATAGAGTCAGACAAGATGGCATATATCTATTATTCTAGGCCTTGGGAAGTAGAGGCAGAAGGACTGGGAATTCAAGGTCATCCTCAGCTATGTACCAAATCTGAGGCCAGCCTTCTCTGTCTATATAAGATCATGTCTTAAAACAAAAATAGCAACACCGGGCATGATGGAGGACACCTTTACTCCAGCAGAGGGAGGCAGAGGCAGGCAGACCTCAAGGCCCACCTGGCCTACAGAGTAAGTTCCAGGACAGGCAGGGCTACTCAGAGAAACCAGTCTCAAAAATCAAAAACAAATCATCATAAGAAAGAAGCAAATAATGGATGAATCCCACTTCTTAGGCCAGAACCATCAAGATCTAATCACCCCAAAGGCTCTGCTTCCTGCTGATCCTGCTGATCTGGGGACCAAGCCCACGAGCCCATCAGGAGAGGGCTGGTTCGACCACAGCAGTGGACAGAAGTGTTTTCCCCTCAACTGACAAATGTTTCTTAGGACCAGCATTCACAGTTTCGAGTTACAAGGCGACAGTTTGGCAACAGCTGTGGCTCACAGACCCGAGGTGTCTGCGAAAAGCTCCTGCCAAAAGGAGTGACGGACTGAGCACCGAGCAGAGCCAGGTGGGCTCCCGGCCATCCGCTCCCCACCCCTGGCCACTGCTGCTCAAAGGACAGGGACAGGCAGGTCCTTGGCCCAGGTGCGGCTGTCCTTTGAGGATAAGGAGCGCATTGGAGCCCCTGCTGGGCTGAGAGGGAGGAACTAGAAACCAAGCCGCCCTCAGGGGACTCGGTTCCCAGCTGCTCAGCAAGGTGGGAACCCTCGATTCCTACTTGCTGTCTGTCTGAGTAGTGGCCCCGCAACCCTGAGCACACTAGGATCGCAGGGACCGCCTTCCACCCGCCCCCAGCCCTCTCGCCTGTGGTCTCCTTCAGAGATGGATCCTGTCCAGGTCCTGCTGACAGACAGCAACTCCCTCTCAGCAGCACCCCAAATTCTCTACATTCCAGGGAGGGACTTATCTCAGTCTCCAGATGCTTGGGAGGAAGGAGCAGCATTCCACACACGTCAGAGAGTGGACAGAGGAAGGTGCCCTACGGAAGGCCACTGCCCCAGGGACCACAGGAGCCAGCCTTCTCCAGGCAGGGCTCAGCGGCCACCGTCCCTCACACCTCTTCCATCTCCTTTTTTCCCTCACAACATTCCTCCCTCTGCTGACACAGTAAGCCAGTTCAGGCTGAATTAAAGGCATGAAAGCAGCTTTATCTGGGGCAGCTCTGGGGCGGTTCACTGGTCTCAGAGAATGGGGCCAAGGAAATCGCCATGCAGACAGGGAGACAGGGCAGGGGGGGAGGGAGCATATATACATACATACATACATACATACACACACACACACATACATATACATACATACACACACACATACACATACATACATATACATACATACATACATATACATACATACACATACATACATATACATACATACATACATACACATGCATACATACATATACATACACACACACACACACACACACATATATATATATATATATATATATATATATATATATATATATATATATTAGGAGCATATAATATAGGAGCAGAAGATAAAGTTAAGGGAAAATTTTTTTCTTAGGTCTACATTTAAAACTTTAGGCCCATGGTCTTGGTAGCTGGGGGAGGGGAGCTCTGGAATAGCGATAGGTGGGTCTGTCAAGAGCCTGTCCTGCTCTAGCAGAGGACAAGAGACAGCTTCCTGACCTTTCCCTCCCCAACCCTACCCCCAAAGCTGCTCACTCCAGATCCAGGGGACCTGAGGCCCTCTTCAGGACTCTGAGGGTGCAAACCCATACACTCAGTCAGACACATGTATATATAACTAAGAATAAAATAAAATAATTTAAAGCTGCCTTTAGGACTAGTGCTATGGTGATGCCTGTATTCATTCATAGCCTCTTGGGAAACTGAGGCAGAAGTTCAAAGTCAGGCTGCGGAACCTGGTGAGACCCTGTATCAAAAAAGACAGAGGGCAGCTACAGCAGTGCAGGGCCTGGGCGCAGAGCGGGCCCAGCGTTCCTCAGCGTTCTGCTCCCTGGCACTGAGTCCTACTCAGACACCACGGTGGCCCAGACCCTCATCACAGCTCTTGGGAAGTGGAGTCAGGAAGATTCAAAGTGCAGGAGCCATCCTGTGCAGTTTAGCTAGCCTGTGCTACATGAACTTGGTCCACAGCCAGCAGCAGCTGCGGCGGCGGCAGCAATGGCAGCTAAGTTTTCTGGCTGGAGAGCACGGATTCGTGAGCGGCCAAGTGAGTGAAGCTAATTTATCTCCTCTCTTCCTCAGCCCTTGCTCTTCGCACTCCACGCTTCCCAGCCAGGAGAAAGGACTTTGGACTCCCTTTGCCTAGAAGACGGAGCTGAGAGCCCCCACAGGCTGCTGTCTGGAGCCTGGAGCAAGTCTTGTGAGGACCACGTGGTAGGAAGTATGCAGGGCTTTGGGGCGGGCAGAGAGGAGAGTCCTGGGGCTGGGGATCGAGAGGTTGTGAACTGTCCCTCAGTCCACAGCCCAGGTCAGCTCAAGGTCCAGCAAGAGCTCAGAGGAGGCCAGTGAGGGAGCAGGACGGAGGGAATGCCCGGGCGCTGTACCCTGGCGTGGCCTCCTGGGCCCACAAATAGCCCTGTGCAGAGGCGTCCATGCTGCCAGGGCACCTTGGGGGCTTGGCAGGAAGGACACCATGAGCTGGGAATGGATGGGCATGGGGAAGAAGTTCAGGCTGATGTGGGCCACACAGAGAGCGAGGCTGGAGTGGAGAGGTGGCTGCCTGGCTCAGCGGGACTCAGGAGCCTGGAGACCGTCCCTGGACCCTCCTCAAATGTGTGGACAAGGCCAGGAGGCAAGGCCTGCTCTGTTCCAGCCCTTTTGCTCTGTGCTCTGCTTCATGCAACCTTGGCTGTCCTTTCGTTATTTCATTTTGGGATTAGGGTCTCACCATGAAGCCCAGGCGGGCCTGGAGCTCACAGCAGTTCCCCGGCCTCAGCTTCTGAGTTCCAGGAACTCGAGCATGAGCCACACTCGCTGGCTTCGTGCAACCCTGCCACAAAGGTGACAGTTTGACAGCATGATTGGCATGTGAGAGTCTGTGAACCATTTCTTCTGCTCGCTATTCTGCGACTGCGCTCTGCTTTACCAGTCCTAAGAGAGAGCCAAGGTGCCGGTCTAGCCACCAGCTCGTGGGAGGCAGAGGTAGAGGGATCGCCTGGACTAGATAGTGAGAGCCTGTATCAAAAAAAAAAAAAAAAATCAGGGAGGATGCCAAGCACCAGAACCCTACCCTGGCCTCCCATTTCCCAGAAGGCCTTTCTGAAACAGGAACTCAAACAAGCTGCTGTGGTCTGCTTTCTGTTGAATGTGGTAGGATTGGAAAGGAGGGGGGAGGGAGGGGGTGGGGGCTTAAACCTCCCTGGCCAGCTACAACCTAAAGTGTTAGGATTTAGAAAACACACAGCCACTGTGGTAATGTATTTAAAATGTGCCACATACAACAGATGTGGTGTGAAAAGACTTATTGTGGGGGCGGGGAGAGACAGTGGGAGAATGCAGACGAGAAAGAAGGGGTGCGGGACACCCCAGGAGAGAAACTCAGAGAGGGCAGGGAAGGGGAGAGGCAGAGAGAGAGAGTGGGCGGGTGGCAGGCAGGATGGGTCTCCATCACCTGGCCCAGTGGCAACACCAGATATTGTCAGGGCCCTACAGGCCCCTGAGGACAGCCCCGCTGAACTGCCTGCACACCAACATAACAGGCAGAGGCAGAGGCAGGTGGTCTCTGTGTGTTCGAGGCCAGCCTGGTCTACAGAGTGAGTTCCAGGACAGCCAAGGCTACGCAGAGAAACCCTGTCTCAAAACAAAACAAAACAAAAAACTACCCAGCACACTATCCACTGTTTAAGGTTTTTTTTTTTTAATTTCCTTTCTTCCTCATTCACTTGTTTATTTTTATTTAATTTTTTGTATTAATTTTTTTATTTGTGTGTCTGTGTGTGTCCATGGGAATGAGCCCCACGTGTGTGCCTGTGTCCACAGAGCCTACAGAGGGATTGGACACCCTGGAGAAGGAGCTACAAGGAGCGTGTGCTAAGAATCAAGCTTGAGTCCCGGGAGAGCATCACAGGATCTTACTCTCCGGCGGCCCCATGCTTAGTGCGCTTGCGGCTCCTGCAGAGGACCCGGGTTCAGGTCTCCGCACCCTCCTGTGGTTCCCACCCACCCGTAACCCCTGGTTCCGAGCACCCAGCACGCTCTCCCGGCTTCCCCGAGCACCAGGCACACACACGCTCATGCACGTAAAATCTTTAAAAAAGGAAAGGGGAGCCGCGAGGGACACCACGCGCACGCAGGGAGCCTGGGTGTCCTCCGGTCCAGGCCGCAGCCGCCCCACCGCACCCACCATGAGCTGTGGTTCCGCGTCTCTGTCCGCCGCTGAGACAGCCATCCAGGCTCTCCCCTCAGGACCATCAAGGAAGCTTCCCATCTCCCTCCCGCCCCGTCACCTCTTACAATCCGGCAGCACTGTGCTGAACGACGTGGGGCTTTTCTAGAAAAGCATGGCATCCGCTTAGCCTTTTCCAGGGGTTTTCTCAGCCGCGTAACCCCCACTGAACCCCCCCCCCCCCGAGTCCCCCAGATGTGCTGGGTGGCGTCCAACGCCGTCCTTGCTCGTGTTTTGGCACAGGCTGCGGTGAGCCCTTCTTCCACAGAAGCTGGGCTCGGCCAAGCTGCCTCTCTGCCGCCCTCACCGCTCCGTGCGCCCCTCACGTCCTCTGATGGCCTGTGCTGGTCACCCTCCTGAGCCGCAGCGCCTGCTGATCCACCGTGCTCTCTACGGTGTGTGGGCTTGGCTGTCCTGGAACTCACTCTATAGACCAGGCTGGCCTCGAACTCAGAGATCCGCCTGCCTCTGCCTCCCAAGCACTCAAAGGCATGTGCCGCCGCCCGGCTGGCCCCGCAGCTCTTGGCGATGGAGCCTTCTGGAGAGGCAGAATTCCTCCCACGGCTCAGCTCCTGCACACCCCCGCTGCCCCTGCTGGGCGTGATCCCGAGAAGACCCAGGTGGGAGCCGTTAGCACCCCGTTTCCGCTGCTCACTGGCTGTTGCTATGTTACACAACTAGAACCACGTGCCACCCTGACCAGTCTGACCAGAAGGTCGCCGGTTGGACCCACCAGTTAGGGAAGGTGGCTCCTGGCCTGTGTACCGCAAGCACGGAAGGCCCTCTAGGTGCGCGGCGTGGGCAGGGCGCCCCCGGGTGGCAGCCTCCCGAACTGCAGGCGCCGCCCTCCGCGGCTCCGCACTCTGGGATCGGCCGCAGGACTCGGGGCCAAGTTTCTCTCCTGGCGCTCTCTGTCCTGACCTGACACCCAGTTCCGGGAAGAACCGGCTTCTGGAACAGGCTTGCCCGGGCGGCCCGGGAGACAGTCTGGCTACGCGGGTTGTCCCGAGTAACTCAGAGAAGGCCGCGCGCAGGGCTCCGCCGGGCCCCGCCCTGCAAGGGGAGCTGGGACCTAGGGCTCCTGCTGGGGCCCCGGGCTCAGCCAGGCGACGCCTCCTCCTCTGTGCAGTAGCTGCTCGCGGTTTTTGGTTTTTGTTTGTTTTGTTCTTTTCGAGACGGGGTTTCTCTGTGTAGCCTTGGCTGTCCTGGGCCGCCTCGGACTCACAAAGATCCGCCGGCCTCTGCCTCTTCCCGGTGCTGGGATTAACGCTTTAGTCTCGGGGTCAGCCTCGGTTACAAAATACTAAGTGGGAAAATCCCAGAAACAAACAATTCAGGGTTCTAAAAGCTTCCCAGGCTGCACACCGGTAAAACCGGTATAAACCGGTCTATCATTAGCTGCTGCTAATTTGTTGTACCGAGTTAATCAATTAGCTGGGTGTGGTGATACATGCCTAATCCTAAAACTCGAGAGATAGCGGCAGAAGGGTGAAGAGTTCAAGGCCAGCCTGGGCAACATGAAACCTTTTCTTTAAAAAGTGCGTGGGGGTGGGCTGAGGCCTGGAGAGACCTCGCAGAGGTCCTGAGCTGGGTTCCCAGCCCACACTGGGCAGCCCCACGCCCACAGCACCTGCGCTCACCACCCACACACCTAATTTAAAATGAGCTCTCGTAGGTTGGCACAGGCTCCCACTGTCCGGTTCCAGGCATCCCTGTGTCCACACAGCAGCTACAGCTTCCATCTTAAAGACAGCAAGAGAGACTTTAACCTGGAGCCTTTGTGGGTGCGCATGGCCCGGGAACACACTTACGTTCCCCAAATTCCACGTCCTCCTGGCCAGCCCTGCCACTAACCTACACTTCTCCAGGCCCCCCCCCCCGCGCTGCTCTTCCCCCGGCTGCCCTCCCTAGATAGCCCAGCGTTTGTCTACCCTCTTCCCTCTCCTCACAGGCCTGGCTCAGGGTGCCATGCCTACTCTGGGCTCTCCCGGATGTCCCTGCCTCTGCCTTCATTCTCCCTTCTATCTGTAATAACCCCCCACACACCTAGGAGCAGTCATGTTCTTCCTTTATTATTATTATTTTTCATTCACAAAGAAAGTCATAAATCAAGGCAAGTTCAAAACACATTGGTGGGCACAGCAGAGAGGCAGATACATGGAGACGGGGAAAGGTCTTTAAGGTGCTGCCTGGTGACATTCTAAAACGCTTTGTTTGTTTATTTATTGATTTAGTATACAGTGCTTCCCTGAACACCGGAAGAGGGCACCAGATGATTGTGAGCCACCAAGAGGCTGCTGGGAGCCAACCTCTGAGCCATCTCGGTACCTGCTGCCATTCTTAGCTCTGGGACTGGTGGAAGGCGGTGTTCTGCTGGGTCAGTAGCTCCTGAGAGGTTTCTGTTATCATGAGGAGTTGGTTCAAGGAGTTGGAGCAAGGACTGGCTGTTCCAGAATGGAAAACCAGCCCAAATGGTGCACTGAGCCTCTGAACCACCAAATCTCAGTCTCCCCACAGGACCAAAATTCCACCTGGGCCTCCTGCCTCTGCAGCCACAGAAACTCTGTCCAGGAGCCTTTGCTCACAGCCAGGCACCACTTCAGTTCAGGAATGTTTCCACTTGGGGCCCCAGGCTGTGATCCCTGCGCCGTTAGGGCAGGCCTTCTTCTGCCTGTGTCCAGTCCAGCGTGCTGAGCCTGTGCCTGACAGACACCTCCTCTGGGCCCGCTCCTGTGCTGCGCCTGGAAGCCATCACTGAGGACAGCAACACCAGACAATTTGCTCACTGGGCCTTTAGAACCACCTCAGAAGCACCCTGGCTTCCGAGGGAGGAGAGTTCCCGTCACACACACACACGCACGCACGCACGCACGCACGCACGCTCAACATCCAGGGACTCCCAGGGACTGAGTGTTGGGTTGGCACAACCCTCAGGGTCAGAGCTCCTCACTGAGGCCTCCCACCTGAGAAGGTGATTCAAATGTGGTCCGAGGCTGTTAAAGTGCCTCCGGAGCGGGACTTAAAGCTACGATGACCACAGAGACAGACGCTGTGCCCGCCGGCTGGGGAAGCAAGTCAGCAGGAGAGAGGCAGGGTTAAAGAAAATGTCAGCCGGGCAGTGGGGGCCCAAGCCTCCAGCACATAGGGAGAAGAGGCAGGCGGGTCTCTGTGAGTTCAAGGCCAGCCTGGTCTACAGAGCAAGTTCCAGGACAGCCAGGACTACACAGAGAAACCCTGTCTCAAAAAACCAGAAGAAAAAAAAAGAGAGAGACACACACACACACACACACACACACACAGAAGGCTTTAAACCCCTCTGTGGGGCCTGGTGCACACCTTTAATGCGGTGCTCAGGAGACAAAGGTAGGCGGGTCTCTGAGAACCTGAAGCCAGCTGGGTTATAGGGAGTCCCAGGATAGCCAAAGGTACACAGTAAGACTGTTGAAAAAAAGAGAAAAAATGGCGGGGGGGGGTTTGCTAGAGAGATGGGCCAGCAGCTAAGAGCGCTGCTCTTCCAAAGAACCTGAGTTCCACTCCCGGCACCCACACCGGCAGCTAACGACTGTTTAACACTCTGGTTCGGGGTGTTCTGGCTTCCTTCCAAAGGCAATGAATGCACAGGACGCACAGGCTCACAATCAAGCAAAAACATCCATGTATACTAAATTAAAAAAATATTTTTTTTAAAGCAAGCAAAAGACACCCAAGCCGAGGCTGGTAAATGGCTCAGTAAGTAAGGGAGCTTGCAGCAAAAGTCTCCCAACCTGAGTTCAAGTCCCAGCACCATAAAAACCAGGCATGGGGATGCACTCCTGCCATTCCAGCACTAGGGAAGCAGAAACAGGAGGAGCAGAAGTTCAAGGTCATTTTAGGCTACTGAGTAAGTCAGAGTATGTGAGACCCCGTCTCAAAATAAATAAATAATAAGCCAGGAGCTGGGCGCTGCCTCTCCCTAATTCTCTTTCACCGCCTTCAGAAAAGACGATTACAGACAATTACTTTGCTTGGGCAGTGGCCTGGGGAAGCGCACGAATCCCAGCAGGGAAGTCAGCGCCTCTGGCTTCCCTTGCCATAGCCTCCAGCTCTGTCAATCAGCCCCAAGGGTTATCCCGGGTCAGGAGCCTCCCGTTGCCACATAAAGCTCCTGGACACCTGCCCCTGGGGCCAGCAACCTCACAGGCAGGAGGCAGGGAAGACAGAGCAGCGGGAACACAGAGATGAGCAGAGAACCTGGAAGCTGGTGGAGGCAGAAAGGAGCGGCTAAGAAAGCAGAATGTGGAGGTCAGAGGTGGGTGCAGCAGAGAAAAGAGTGACCGGGAAGATGACTGTCACCTGGAAAAGAGAATTAGGGTATCATGTTCACTTCAAAACAAGTGACCGTGGGAATAAAAACAAACAGACAAGCAAAGAACAGGCAGAGAAACAATGGGACACCCAGACCTTAATCCCAGAGCTAACAACATCACAACCTGAAAGCAGGAGGAAATCAAGAACCAGCTCCCCAAACCAAAGTTGTCCTCTGCCCTCCGAGACACAGGGCTGCCCAGCTCCTTCCCCACTCCAGACACAAGTCGATGGGGAAAGATTACTAGTTGTGTGTGGGGTGACTTTGTTTCTTGTTTTGAAACAGCGTGTCAGGACGTGCAGGCAGCCTCAGAGCCACGGTGTGGCTGTGGTTTCTACTTTCCAAGTGCTGGCCTGTCAGGCACCGGCTTCCACACCCAGCCGTACAACTGGGTATCTTCTAGTCTCACTCTTCTATCAGTTGGCAGTTTGATGGTAGAGAAGGGTTTCCCATCCCAGGGTTGAGTGAGTCACAGTTGTGGTGAAAGGGAACAGCAGAACCCTTATTCTACACGGGTGGCAGGATGTGAGGAAACCGAGCCCTCTCCCGGCCTCTGGGGTCACCGCGTGCAGCAGTGTATGACGTACAAGCCACGAGCACCCACAGGCAAGAAACGACATGAGAAAGTGAAGACAGGGAAAACTGAGGGCCAAGGCGGGGAGGGAGGGAAGCCCCACACACCAGGATCTCACTTGCTCCTTCCTGCTGAGAGTCAAGATGAAGCCACCCCCCGGGAGCCGGGGTTATAAAGAGGACTTAGCATGTTAGAGCCAACAAACAAGGGAATGGACAGATGGCCCAGAAATTAAGGGCACTGGCTGCTCCTCAGAGGACCCTGGTTACGGCACCCAAAAGGTGGCTCACAACTGCCTGTACTTCAGGTCCAGGGGCCCAATGTACTTTTCTGGCCTCTGTGGGCACCAGCTCTACATGTAATACCCATGCATACATTCGGGCAAAAAACTCATCACATTTTTTTTTAAAGATTTATTTATTATTTATACAGTATATAGTATTCTGCAAGCATGTGTGCCTGTAAGCCAGAAAGAGGGCACCAGATTACAGTATAGATGGTTGTGAGCCACCATGTGGGTGCTGGGAATTGAACTCAGGACCTTTGGAAGAACAGCAAGTGCTCTTAACTTCTGAGCCATCTCTCCAGCCCCTCATCACATGTTTTAAAATACGGTCTCACTATATAGCCTTGGCTGGCCTAGAACTCACTACAGAGACCAGGCTGGACTCAAACTCAGAGATCCGTCCGCCTCTGCCCCGCCCAAGTGCTGGGATTAAAAGTGTGTGCCACCAAACCCAGCATAAATTAAAATATTTTTTAAAATCCAAAACAAAAACAAATGAACAGTGCTCACTTAAGGTGAGAATGTTTATGACCTTGAAGGTGTGGTGTGAGTCTGTGTGTTCCTCTAATCCTCAGGAGCCTTGCATCTTGGGTTTGGATTCAGGGTTTTTCACTGGCCTGAAAATAAGGGATGAGGCTGAACAGACAGCCACAGAAATCCTCGGATCCCTGTCATACCAGTGCCCTCAGGTGTTTGTGTTTGGGGATCTGAACTAAGACTTCATTAGGCTAATCTCTTTCCAGCCAACCTCAATGGCTTCCTTCACCCGGCTATGGACTGAGATGCCATCGCTGGCCATTTTGACTTTCCCATCACAGTTACCAATTTTAATCACATTCTCTCTCTATCCAAACCTGTACACAACAGGTCATCCCTCTAAGCTCCGAAGAGCCCCTTCGGGGTTTCCAGCTCACCTTTGAGGGACCAAAAAATAAAATCAGAAAGCTTGGGAACTGTTCGGCGGTGGAGCCCAGGCCTCAGGTGTGTGAGGCCCAAAGCCTATTCTCCGCACAAGAATAAAGAAGGAAGGAGGGCGGAAGCAAAGGATGAAGGACAGACGGAGAAGGAGGGTGTGACAGGGAAGAACCAGGCAGAGGTGTCTCCCTCCCGTGTTCTTGCTGAAGCCATGTCAGGTTTAGCTAGAACTGGATCTCCTTGGTGGAGAATTCCATGGAAAATTACCCAACTCTCTTCCAGGAACCCGAGGTCAGGAGGTCCTCGATAACTTATCTAGCTTCTGTTAAACTGCCAGCTTGTGCAAACCTCCTCCTCCACCTACTCATGAGATTCCAGGACCTGGTTTCTACCTTCAAAACCCTTGTGTGACGCACACACCTAGGTCACACCGAGGCCCCTGAAAACTTGGGTGCAGTCCCAGCGGCGGGAATAAAGACTCTAAGTCGGATATAACTGCGTCTGAGAGGCCATCTCAGGCAGGCTCCTCATAACAGAAGGAGGATCTGAGAAAGGCAAGAACTCTTGTTTCTCTAGACAGGGCCTTGTGTTTGTCAGGCTGGTCTCAAACCTGCCATGTAGCCACGGATGGCCTTGAACTTCCTCTCCCCTGCCCCACGTCTGGGAGCAAGGTTATGGCCATGTTACCAGACCCTCTGTTTGTGGTGCTGAGAGTCAGGGAGTGATGGAAACCACACAGGGACACAAACAAAGCCCCCTTCTTGACAGCCCACACCCTACAGACATGTCCACGCGTGGCCACAAGCAGCCTGGCCGACCCTCAGGAGTCACTCCAGTCACCTCACGGAATCCAGTGCACTGCCCTCTTCATTCAGTCAAGGTTTAGCAGAGAGAAGGTCACAGCAAGGAAAGGCACTGGTTAGGACGGCGTAGGGATCCAGCCACACCTGGGGCAGTGGAGTGGAAGCTGAGGTCCTTAAGGCAATTTAGCAGCTATTAAAGAGCTCTTAATGGTTGTCCAGGTGGCTCAGGCAGGAAGGCTCTGGCCACCAAGCCGATAATCTGAGTTCAGTCCTCGGAACCCTCATGGGCAAAGGTGAGAATTCACTGGGCCTTTTGCCTGCACACCTGCGCGCTCGCGCGCGCGCGCGCGCACACACACACACACACACACACACACGAAATAGATTAAAAAAACAAACAAACAAACAAACCTGATTTTTAAAATGTGGCCTTGGTATTAGCGATAGGCCTTTTTTTCCCTTACGTAAGTGTTGGGGTTCGGGTGTTTTGACCCCTGCATGACAGTGTGGGAGCCTTTCCTTAACTGAAGGACTGTCAGAGACCAGGGCTGCACCATGGAAAAACCATGTCTGGAAAACCTAAAACAAACAAACAAGAAAAGTTGCAGTGTGGCAGCTGTGGCTAGATGCAGAAGGTTGTGAAAACTGCCTGGCGTCGCAGGCCAAAGGGCAGAGCAGCCAGCCTCTGGCCCAAGGGTGTGGAGCCCTGGGTTCTGGCTTCTAAAGCCTGGAGGAATGGGCCACAAGTAAGCCTTAGGCACCCAAGGGCTGGAGCTGCCGGTTCTGGAGTTTCCCCTCCCTACCCACAATTCCTAGCCAAGTAGAGCCAAAGGGCTCCAGTCAGCCTACTGTCCTCTTCCTCCCAGGGGCGTTTTATGCTTGGATGGTAGGGATCTTCAAAATGAGCCTCAGAGAAGGGTTTGTTTGTTTATTTACTTACTTACTTATTTTTCGAGGCAGGGTTTCTCTGTGTATCCTTGCCTGTCCTGGACTCAATTTAAAGACCAGGCTGGTCTCCAGCTCACAGACATTCGCCTGCCTCTGCCTCCCCGGCTGCTGGGATCACAGGCGTGGGCCACCCCACCTGCCAGTGTTTCTTTATTATTTAATTTTAAAATTAAATAATTAAAATAAAATTAAAAAGAATGTTTTAGGAGTTGGGGAGACCACTCAGAGGTTAGGAGCACAGGCTGCTCTTCCAACTGCAGCTCCAGGGGGTCGGATCGCCTCAAGCGTGGAGCACAGAGGCAGTGGTTGGAAGTCGAGTCTCTCCATCCAGCGTGTGGTCTCTGGGGACTGACCTCAGCTGTCCGGCTTGGAGGCCGCAACAGTGTCTGGTAGCAATGCTAAGGTTGCTACGATGTTACGGTTGCTACAAGACATTGTAGCATTGTACAATGCTACACAGGGTGGCCTGACCACTGAGCTTCAGCTCCAATAGGCCCACCTCCCCCCCCCCCCACCCGCCTTTTGTTTTGAGACAGAGTTTCAACGTGTATCCAAGTTTGGCTGGCCTGGAACTTGCTCTGCAGACCTGACAGCCCTCCTACCCAGCCCCCCCCCCCCCCTTTTCCCAAGCGCTAGGAGCAAAAGCCTAGACACCACCTCCGGCTCTCCAGCGCCTTTACTTGCACCTTTAAAATGTTGCTATTGTTTTTAACTGTGTGTACCTGTCTGTGTGTCTATGCAGCGACACACATGGGGGCGGGGGGGGGGCATGGAATGCCCCGGGACCGGGGTTACAGGTGACCGAGAGGCGCCGGATGTGGGTGCTGGAAACCAAAGCCTGTCCTCCGAAGGAGCCCTCAGCCACTGACTCAGGCTCCCGTCCTCGCTTCACTTTTCATTTGAGACAGGGTCTGCTAAACTGCCCAAACTGGACGCGAACTGGCTGACCTCTAAGGTCAGGCACTCCTTGGCCTCTCAGCTTCCAAAATCCCAGGCGTGCACCATAACGCCCACCAAGGAAAGGGTTTCAAGCCCTCACCACTGTGCTGAGGGGC